CGGGGAACGCAGGCAGCTGGCCGGGGCTGGAAACTGGGTGCCTCTGTGGCCAGTGGGAATGCCAGTGCCAGGGCGCTCAGCAGATGCTCCTCGCGCCATCTTAGCTGCTGCTGAGTTTTACAGTCCAGTTTGAGTAATTACCAAATGGTCCACCTGGGCCCGAAGGACACTCCCCAAGGCTTGGGGGCTAGCTCCCACAGCTTCTGTCTGCACTGGTCCTGGAGCTGGTCAGCCTTGACACAGGGGAGCCTGCTGTTCACACATCCCAAGTTCCCCACCAAGAGTGACTTCAGGTCCAGTTGGGAAAAATACATAAAAAAACCCCTACAAATACAAACAAAGCTGTAGCACCCATCTGCTGCCAGCAGCTCACCAGCCATTTTGCGGAGGAGCCTGCCACTGCCCCTTCACTCTCAAGGCTGAATTTGGGCTCCATAGATGGACAAAGCACGATATCTACAGAAACCAAGGTTTCATAGTTAACCTCATAGTCCACTGCTGCTAGCACCCGCTCTCTACCCATCAGAGTCCTCCCAAATGTGCTTTTCTTCAGAGTCATATTCCCCTACCCCCCAACCATGCTGCCAAAAGTGTCAATTCTTCTAAATTTGATTATTTCCTATTGCATCTAAGTTAGGCAAATTGGAGGATGGAGGTGGGGTTGTCCCAGAAAGAAAGTTGGGTCCTGGATTCCATTTTTGTTCCCATTCTTTTCTTTCTATAGCAGTATTACAAAGGTGATCTCAGCAGGCGACCCTCACTTCAAATGTCCCCAAACTATGGCTTACAAGTTAAACTCAAACCCAGCCCTTTCCTGTAGAAGAGGCCCCTCAGTCCGTCCGCGCCTGCCCAACAAAGTGGGGGAAGGCTTGGCTAGGACGGGATGAGTGCAACCCCAGACTTTCTGAAAAGCAACGAACGAGATAACGGGCAAAGGCCTCTTCTCAGGGGAGTTCTAGAGTTAGTTGCGAAGGCCCAGAGGAAAGCTGTCCCTGGGAGCTGCGCTCCTTGTCTTTTCCCACCTTCAGCGGGTGTCTGAAGGGCACTCCACAGCTAGGCTCCATTTGGTTTGCTCCTTTGATGAAGTTGGGGATTGGCAAAACGGTCTTTCTGTGGCAATCTCTGCCGGCTACAGAAACACAGGAGCGCGAACTTCTTTAAGAGAGATGTTTAAACACCCACAAAGGCCCCTTAGATTTGCTTTGGGACCCCAGCAAACCAAGCACAAATCCGTAGCGAGTGTGAAATAAGTTAACTCCCCAGCTACCAGCTCCTCTGAGCCCTGGCCAGCCGTTTTCAATGAAGTGCAAAGTAATGATTGCTGTTTGCCTCCACGCCTCCAGCAAATATACCTACCACCCCGTGTCAGTTTATTTTTGCTCCACCCCTTCAAATGAAAGCTCACATGATGGCAAATTAGATAGCTGAATTCCTCTGTTGCAAATAAAACCGCTTACTCTCCAACCAAGACTCCCCTCCTCCCCCCTCCTGCCCTCTGACTCCTGCTTAGGCAGCCCTTCCCCAGAAGTCTGCCGGATCCTGCCTCCCCTCTCTAAACAGGCAGCTTGCGAGTCGCTTGTTTTTGCTGTATTTTTAACTTTCTAAAAATATTTGGAAAAGCTCTCCCCAGGGCTAGGGAAACTTTAGCTCCGGTTAAGCCACGTGGTTACAAAAATATACTGGGAGAGAGAGCTGCTCGGCTTTCTAAAAAGCCAGCCACGGTGTGAAGTCAATATACTTGGAAAGAGACTGACTTTTTGCCACTGGTGAGAACAGGAGCAGGACTGAGCCTCGGAAAGGACTGATGTTCCCCCCAGCGCTGTGGGTCCGTGGTGAGGGAAAGCTGGCTTGTCCTGCCCTTGACAGTTGTCTAGAGACGCGTGGGAGGAAGAGTGAGTGTGGGCTTTTCCAGGGTTTCCCCCATGGATTCTGGAAAAATGCCTCCAGGCTTCTTGAGTCTCCTACCAGGTCTTTGTCCAGTCCCACTTCCTTAGCCACTTCCAGCCATTCTCTCTACCAGCCCTTTCCCTGGAGTTGGGTCGCCCGCCCAGGGTCCACTGCCCCTCCCTTCTTATTTCTGGCAGGCTGAACACCCCAGAGCTGAGTAGGGGTCGGTGTGTGGGGTGGGGGGGGGTATGTGCTTTCGGAGAAAGGGTGGGGGGGTGTTCCTGGCTTCTTGCATTGGAAAAACAGGTCGGTGAGATGACTCAGAAGGGACTTTTCCCTCCCCGCCTTAGGGCTGAATTTTGAAGGTGTCTGTCAGTCTGAGTGTTGCCGGGTGGACCGTTTCGGCCAACCTGGCGTTCTCAGCTTCTCTCCTCTCTGTCTTCCCTGGAAACCCCCTGCTTCCCTCGCTGGGTTTTTCTGTCCTAGCACCACAGACAGCTCCCCGGGCGCGCGGAGGAGCCGATGCCCGGGGCGGGCGGGGTCCCGACAAAGCAAAGGCGACCGCAGGGGGCGCGCCGGGTTAGGGTCCGCGCTGCCCGCGGAGGGCGCCGGCGAAGCGATTACAAAGCGACCTCCCTGGCAGCGTTTCCTGATTAACCCCAAGTCAAAACAGGGGCCCATTCCAAAGAGCAAAATCTGCAGATCAATAAAGTAATGCACAAAACGAAAGATCTCGGGGTAAGTAGTGCTCAGTGACAGATCAACGCTAACCCGTCCCTGGTGAATAAGTTCTTAGTGGAAGCCGACTGGGGCGGAGCGGGCACTCGGGGCTGCTGCTTCGAAGCCCTCGCGCCGCGCCCGGCGAGGTCGCCAGTGGAACCCCCTCTCCAAAGGGCACTTTCCACGTCCTCAGCTCGCGCAGCCTCCGCCGAGCGAAGCCCCGGAGAAGCGGTCCGGAGGCGGCCGCCCTGAGTTCGGGTTGAGCCGAGGCCCCGATCTCGGCCGCAGGCAGCTCCCAGCCCGGATCTCCCCCGCGCGGGTAGGGGACTCCCCCAGGTCCGGCTACTGTCGGGCCCTGGGCCGCGCGCGGGTCTCCCCGGCGGGAGTTCCAATGAAAGAAGAGAACCTGCGCGAGCGCGAGATTGAACTTGATTTACGATGAAAGGGCTTTGTCACTTGGTGGAGCGATTCATTCCCGCCCCCGCCCCCGCCCCCTCCTATCTCCGCGGCTGGACTTGATTCCTTAGTGAAGGGGCCCTTGGCGCAGCGGTCCTCCCTCCCTCCCACTCCGAATAGAGCGCAGGCAGCGGTTCCCGCGGGGCTCCGAGCCCGGCTGCAGCGCGCGGGCTCCGCGGGGTCTCCCTCGGTGTGCGCCCCACCCGGCCTTCGCGCTCCTCCCGCCCCGGGGACAGCCTGGTGGCCACCGGTTCCCTCGCCTGGTTACGGACCGCGTTTCAGGGAAGAACGCGCGCATCTCCAGGACCCTATAGGCCGGGGACAGGAATCCAGTTGGTTTCACGAACGGGGCTTGGCTGGGCCTGCAGAAGCAGGTCCCTCCTCTCACATCTCTGTGGGCTCCGGAGCAGTGGTTCTCAACCTTCCCAA